TACGAATTTCCATTTCCATATCAGTATCAGCTACTTTAACAGTGTTAATAGGCAAATTTTCTTCTAATAAAAAACTTGGACCATTTTTCCATCTTTCAGTTAATTGACTAGCAGGTATACCACGTGAAATATCATCAGCTACATTATCTTGTGAACGAATATGATAAATGAGCAGGATCAGTTGTATTCTGTATTTCACCAATTCGAGATGAGACAAAAGGTTTGTATTTTCTGGCTTGGCTTTTTATCCAGGCAAGAACTATCATACTATCTGTCAGGAAAATAGTTTTCTCAAATTTCAGTCGTGTTTCTTCCATAATAGTTTTATAAAGACGAGTAGACAATACAGCAGCTTGTAGCTCTAAGCGAGGAATTGTAAGTTTCTTCAACGGTGCTACTCTAGATTTAGCAGCAATAAATCTAACATAGTATTCATCAGAGTTTGTTTTCCATCTCATGTAAGCACAGGTACCAAAAGCTTCTTCAGATGCATCAGAAAATATGCAAAGTTCAGGTAAGTTAACAACTTCTGGAGGTGTCAAGCATCTTTCAAATTCTATACCATTTAAACTGTTCATTTCAGCAAACAAACTTAACCATTCAAATTGCAAATATTCAGGTAAGGTTTGATCCCATTCTAAACCAAGTTGCCACAGTTTCTGCATTCCAATCTTCAGTCGTACCAAAAATGCAGCAGCAAAACCAATTGGATCAAATAATCTAGCAATTTGACTCAAAATTCTTCTTTTTGTCAAACAAACAGGAACATTAGATTTATCAGCAAATTCAATCTTGACTTTATATGAAAAAGTGTCTCTAGTATTATTCCAGACGATTCCTAAAACCTTTTCTTCATTTATATCAGTCAACAGTTTCAAATCTTGATTTTCAGGAACAGGTAAGCAGTTAAATACTTTATTAGATATCCATCCTTTAACTTTATATCCACCATTAGCTAGTGCAGAGTAAATATCAATAGTCAGTTTACTAGCTTCATTTACAGTTTTAACTGAAGTACATATATCATCCATAAAAAACATCATTTTCTAATACTTTGGCAGCTTCAGGTAAATTAGATTTTTACTTCTTCAGTAGTTTTCTTTAAAGCCATCTGAGCCATAGCAGGTGCTGGCTTATCACCAAATGTCAATACAGTTTTGACATATACATCAGGAGGTTTTTCAACAATGAGATTTCTCCACAGGAACCTATGAACATGTTGATCTTCTACATGAATCAGTACTCTGTAATACATCTTGGAAATATCCCCACAAATAACCACTTCATTTTCTCTAAATCTCAGTATAACTCCAAATAAATTGTTGAGAAGATCAGGACCTTTATACCAGTAATCATTCAAACAGTGACCATTAAAACTGGCAGACGAGTTAAATACTATTCTTACAGGTGTACTTTTTTCTCTGGTTTTATAACTTCATGATGGGAAATATAATGAACAGGACCTTGGTATTCAGTAATTTCTGAATCTGTAAGTTTTCTAGCGAATTTCATATCCACCATTTCTTCAATTTTACCATTATAAATTTCAGCATGTACAGGATATTTCAGCAGTCGACGTTCAGTTGATTCCAATTTATTTTCAGCTTGTATTCTATTATCAGGAGGTAAATTAGGGTCTTTTCTCCAAGGGTAAGGTATTAACCATTGATTACCAATCTTCTTACAGGATTTCTCGATTATCTTAGATTCTTTAATATCTATGGGACTGAGACCACTTTCTCGGCAGCAACAGGAACCCGAAGCAACACCCATTGCTTCTGTAGTCCAAAGGTCAGCCATATCTACCGAACCCGACAATCCGACATGATTCTTCAATATCTTCACCAATACACAGAATTCCTAAAGCAGTAATTTGAAAAGATCTACCAGTATCCATTGAAACTATTCTAAATTTATACAGCTTGGTTCTAAGTTCTTCAGAATCTCCACCAATTTTTGTCATCACAATACTTATATCTTTGCCTTCTAATTGAAGTTGTTCAGCCATTGATTTTCTAATTAAGCTAAACTGGGCACCAGAGTCTAACAGGGTATTTCCTCTAACAGTATTACATTTACCATAGATATCAACAGTTATTACAGGTAAAATAGTTTCTCTACTATTCAGCATTGATGCAATTCCTACACTGTGGTGTTCAGGGCTTGTTGTTCTATTAGTAGGATGAAGTAATTTATGATGAAACAGTTTACAGCGACTCCCATTATAGAGTTCAGTACATTGGCGTTTGTTTTCTCGAACAGTTCATTACACCATGATTTTTACCAGAAATTTTCGAACAGCTCAAACAGGCATGATTATATTTCAGAGTTTTAATACGATCAGATATAGATTTGGATAGGAAATTACGACATTGGTCTAACCAGTGATCATTGCTTTTACAAAGCCAACATTTATATCGATTGGTTTCAGCAGGTCTATCATCAAAATTACCATGATGTATGTTGAATCTTGAGTGTTGACCAGATGATCTTAAAGGAGCAGTAGCACGAATACGAAACTTCAGCATTCATCCATTCTAATAAATCTTCTAAATCAGCAGTCTTTTTGTCCTTTTCAAGATATCTGAACATAACTTTCTTGTCTTCCGTGTTCATCTTCTGTTCAATTAAAGCTAACATGTGATTATTGTTCATATCATTAGGTCTGCCTATTTCTTTAAGTGTGTTACAACTTCTTCGGACAACATGAACTAATTCGCAAAAACGTGCATCTTCACCATCTCTTAGTGGACGGAAACGTGATAAATCTTGGGTAATACAGTCAGCAATAAATCTTGGATCTCCATACATTGAGTCTAAATATTCAAAGGCAGCATCATAATCAGAACCTATACCACTTATCAATTCTAATGGCTTATTTACCAAACAGGAACGCAGTAAAGTTATAGCATCTCGTTTACTATATCTCGATGAAACTATATGCAAAAAGTCTGACTTAAAAGTATAATATTCACGAACATCTCCACTAAACTTTGGCATCTTCGGTTTCTCCATTTTAAATTGACAAACATCTGTAGATTGTGTAGGGTTTCCACTGACAGAATTACTATTCAGGCTAGTTGAAGCAGTAAGACCATTCATATTCTCGGTACTCAGAATATCAGCATCAAAATTATTCGGATTGACAGCAGTAGAATTTCTCGGATTAACAGCAATAGAATTTCTCAGATTAGCAGAAGTAGAATCTCTCGAATCCACAGAAGCACTTGGATTCGGATTATCATCAGCAGAAGTACTTGGGTTGACAGCAGAAGTACTCGGATTATCGTCTATACTGTGGTTGTCAGGATCAACAATATTATTTACATCAGAATTCCTCAGTAGGTAATGAATTATCAATAGGGGATGAAGAGGGTGACAGGTTTATTTGATCAGGGCTCTGGGGAATTTCAACATTCTGGGTTTTGGCTTGGAACTCATCATTTAAGTGTTTAACATAATCTTTGGAATACATTTTTAATGTTGTGACCTCGTTTTGCACATCATCCAACCAAATTTCTGCAGTTTCAAATTCATCCTCGTCATCTAGCATTTGAGTATATGAAGTATGTTTTTCCACCAGATTATCAAATGCAGTGTCTATTTTCAACACTTTTCAAAATTTCTTGGATTTCTTCTATTCCCCTTTTTTCATTAATCAGTCTATCTAGTACTTTCCCTAGTCTGGTAATAGCAGCTTTTCAGTTTCTTCTTTTCTTCTTGGCTTCTAAGAGCAAGGTTTTCAGTTCCTCTGGTGGCATGTCTAATTTTCAAAAATTCAATCAGTCAAAATTTCACAGGATATGTGACAGATAAACAAAAGTTCAGTAAATGTGACCAGTTTCACAGCAAATACACAATACGTGCCAGTTCTGACTGAATTTTCTCAAATTTCACTAGGATACAGATTAGCAAATATAATACAGTCATTAAACACAGTAGATTAACATCCAAATTTCTTCAGCATTTCTCCAATCCCGAATTCAAATTTTTGTGGATCGTGAGAGTGCATGAAGCCGTCCGGTCTAAGCCCCTGGTAATTGGCCAATTCTATAGAGTTAATAAAACAGATTGATAATACAGTTGGTTCTTTTCTTAGTTTAAATTACAGAGCATCTAATTCACTACATTCATTCTATTTTACTTTTAGTTATATACTTTTTACTTTTTACTATTTGAATTCATGACAACACTGAGGCCATGACCGGAAGCATGCTTATTACAAAAAGTACGGATCAGATTAAACTTATGAAAATAAAAGGAAACATTTTGGAACAGTCAATTCAATAGTCTCTTGCAGAACAGAGTGGATATCAAAATTAAAAATCCAAGAATCGGATTTCAAGTATGACAAAGCGATACGGATATCTTCAAACTTCACAGATAGTTTCCATAAATGCTTATTTACATGGCGCAAATCTAATATAAGTCGTTTCTTCTCCGAACTCTGTATGGAAACAGAAAGTGGATTGACAACAAATGGAATGGTATCGCATTTGCAATCAAACCCCTTTTCTCTAAATCAAGTATGGCCTTAGTTACAAATTCTGAGCTCTTCGATGTCGAAGAATTATTTCCCAACACAACAGAAGGAGGAGTAGACATAAAAGGGATCTTATATCCGTCGGAAATGACGTCAAGTACAAAACTACTGCATTCCGTACTTCTCCAAAATTTTAAATGCGACTTAAGTCTACTTTTCACTATGATAGCACATTGGCCTCGCTCATATTCGAAAAAATCATCAGTAAAATACTCATCTTTAATCACTTCCGTTGTGGTCTCATTTCCTTGGAGTGGATGAGCTGGAGTTGGATCCACCTTTGATGTTGGGGCATGACTTCCGGAAATGGCCAAATTCTCCACTGTATCTAGAATTGGTTTGGGGACGAAAAGAGCGTTGGCCAAATCCATTAGAGGAGAAACCAGGAGGATACATTCCAAAAACAGGAAAATTACCAGGGTTTTGTGAAAGAAATCCATCACTCCTGTAAGAAGAACTAAAAGGCACATTTAGAATTAAGTGCAAGTTTCTGCTTTTTCTGGTTTTTGCGTTTCACAACCTGTAAAGCTCTGAATACTGCTTTTTTAATCTTCGACTCGTCGTCGGAATCACTTGCAATAGGATTAGCAGAATATTGACGCACTGTCTCCCAACCCCCTTCCGAAGTATCAGTCAACTTAATTAATTTATTTCTCTGCTTCAATTTCTCAATCGTTTCATTCAAACATTCTTTAGCATAATCAGTTTTGCTGTGCTGCAGAGCCCACAAAGTTTGTGTAAGACTATCACTAACCTCCGAATTGAAAGTGTATTGAACTTTGTTCCCAATTTTAGACCATTTATGCTCAGTGTCTAATTTAAGTTTTTTCACTTCGGAATAAACTGCCAAAGAATTACCTTGAACCTCATTTTGAAAAGCATTCAATTTCTCATCAATCTTCGTTTCAAAATCCAGTAAAATATTACTTCTATCTTCTTTTAATTCTTGTAGTTGATTTAAAACAAGTTTCAATGTACTACCAATACTTTCTGTTGACTCGTCAGTCATGGTAAATAACAACACGTGTGAAGATAAAACGAAAAATTCACGTGCAGAGAGACGGTGACGTAGCGCTGAATGATAAACAAAGCATTCCTTTGCTATTTATAACATCTCCAGATGGCTGACTAGCAACAGGAGAAAACAATTCTAGTGTAATTCATTTCATTCAACCCACAAGAATTTAATTTCCCATCATGACTAGTACTTATACCATACTTTTTCTCTATATCCACTTGACGTCTTTAAGATATTTATTGTATATTTTACTCTGGTAAAACCATCTTTATACTCTCATGGTATCATTATCATATTGATCTTTTAATTACTTAAAAATAGTTTTGAATAAACATTTTGGTCCTTACCATACAATTTCTTCAGAAGACCAAAATACATGGAAGCGTTAAGAAGTGTTCCTTCGATGTCTTAACCCTCCATATCTTTTTATCATATAGCGTTATATTAAGGACTTACTTAATTAAGGTAAGTAGTATCTGTATTATTCTTTAATTCTATTATATTTCATAACATTGTAATATAGTATTGTAGCATAGAATATTATATTAGTATTGTTAATTAAATTATTATTATCAAATTAAACAGGACTTTGTTTCATTGAAACCCTGTACCGAGTCCATCGTCTTTTGCCTTCTCGACGATTGTCACTTAAGATAATTGGGGGCTTGTCCGGGAACGAATCAAAATACAAGTTTTTAAAAAAATCCGTTATTTCAGTTTAGAATTTGGTATCTTAATCAAATGTTCTGTTCTGAACCCTAAAATGTTCTGTTTAAATCTATTTGCTGTAATATGCTAATTGCAATCTATAGTAGGAGATACATGAAACTTATCTACATTTACTTTAGCTATTTTTTTAATGTTTGTTGAAAGATAACGTACATTTCCACATAAATTATTAAATAGTGAATATATTATAATAGGAAGATATTTTCACTGTTAAATAGTGCTCAATTCTTTGAAGAGCAACATAGACATAAATCTAGTATATATATATATATTATTCGAATATTATAATTCATTGTTTAAGGTTAATTTTTGGATTAGTTTATTACTTTCAATTTTTCACATTAATTTGTTTCAAGTATTGTAACTTGCTTACATTTAAATTTTATTTGTTCTGCGATACATGCAATTTAAGCATTTCGTGGTCCCTCAATTTTCTATTTCACAATTAAGATAACAAAAGTTATATCATTGGATAATTGATTTAGCTTTCTTTAAGTTAATAAAAATTACACTTTATTAAACAAAATTCAAATTAAAAAAAAAATGGTTTTGAAAATGGATCAATTTTTAAAATCGATTTCTGTAGATAGTTAATTATCTTTAAAGAAAAATGAACTTGTCGATGTTTGCAAACATTTCAAAATTGAGGTGAAAACCAATATGACTAAGGTTGAAATGCGTAGAATATTGGTTGATCATTTGGTTGACGAGGAAATCTTGGAGGAAACACCGCTAGAACACTTAAGTTCTGATCTACTTTACTCAAACGCTTGGAACTTGAAACTAAATTGAAAGAGCGTGAACTGTCATACAAGGACAGACAACTGGAATTGAAATAAGAATTTGAAAAAGTGGTAGAAAATATCAAATGTCCTAAAAAGGATTGGACATTGTTACTACAAAGTGTATTGATAGGCAAGGCACATGAAACCTAGCCACTTACAGCACTAATTACGACTTAGTGAAAATCTGCATTCTTAAAGCCTATGAGCTGGCACCTGAAGCCTACAGACAGAAATTTCGCAGTTCTAGGAAAAATGACACCTAGACCCACGTTGAATTTTCAAAAGACAAAGAGACACAGTTCAACAGGTGGTGTCTATCAAAGACCACCAACTCTGAATTTGAGAAGCTAAAACGATTGATTCTCATAGAGGAATTCAAAAGTTACGTTCATCACGATATAAAAACACATCTTGATGAACAGAAAGTGGGTACATTAAATGAAGCAGCTATCTGTGCCGATGACTACGCCCTTACAAAAACACGTTTCATAACAAACAACAACATCGTCCAACCAGAAGTACTCCTCAAATACCATCAAATTCTACAGTAAAACCAAACCAGATATCTTTCAACAAGAATGATAGACAAGACACTCTGAAACCTCCAAGCCTAAATCATGGTATCACTTGTGCTTATTGTAAGAAGAAAGGACATTTGATAGCAGAATGCCGAACTTTAGACAGAAAAAAATATGGTGAAAAATTAGAATCAAGTACCCTACTTACAACAGAAATCGAAAAACAGATATCATCCCTGATCCAAGACAACACACATGAAAATTACAAATCATTCCTTTCAACAGGATTTGTGGCTACAGACGAGGATAAGAAGATAAACATTCTGAGAGATACTGACGGATCTCTTTCTCTATAAAAGGAAGCCACTATACCAACATCGATAGATGATTTTACTGGTATCTACGCCATCATAAGAGGTGTAGAAGGTGGATTTACCAAAGTGCCATTATACAAAGTTCATTTGAAAACCGATGTTGTCCCAGGTGGTATATCATTGTTATTGGGAAATGATATTGCAGGTAACAAAGTTCTACCTGAACCTATAATGATAGGACAGCCATTAGAAGATAACCAACAAATTAAAGATGAGTTGGTGAATATTTACCCTGCCTGTGTTGTAACCCGATCTCGAAACAAAAAGGAAATTGAAGATAAGGTCACACAGAGTCACGACTTGTCGGATTCATTTTTTACCAAGTTATTTGACATAAATATTGCTCCAAAGATCTACCACAAGGAAATAATTAGTTTGGCTCACAACACCCCATTTTCTGGACACCTTGGTGTTACCAAAACTTACAACAAGATTCTTGAGCATTTCTATTGGCCAGGATTACACAAGGATGTGGTCAACTTCTGTAAAACCTGTCATACATGTCAAATGGTGGGTGGCACCATTACGTCCGATTCCAGCATTTGCGGAACCTTTTAGCAGAGTTTTAATAGATTGTGTCGGGTAACTCCCAAAGACCGAATTAGGCAACAGATTTCTTCTCATCATGATCTGCACTTCGACTAGATTTCCAGAAGGCGTACCCTTAAGACGAATTACCAGTAGTAACTACCAAGGCGTTAGTCAAGTTTTTTTACTCTGGTTGGTCTTCCTCAAGAATTTCAATCAGATCAAGGTTCGAATTTCATGTCAAACTTATTTCAACAAGTTTTGTATGAACTCGACACCAAACAGTTAAAGTGCTTTTCACCCTGAATCGCAAGGAGCGCTAGAGAGATTCCACCAGACCTTAAAAACAATGATGAAAACCTACTGTTTTGAAAATGGACCTGAGTGGGATAACGGAATACCCTACTTACTATTGGCGGTTCGAGAGTCTACCCGAGAATCATTAGGATTCAGTCCTTACGAATTGGTGTTTGGTCACAAAGTGCGTGGACCATTGAAATTGTTCAAAGTAAAATGGTTGGCCGAAAATCCAGAGATGAATCTCCTTGATTATGTCAGCAACTTCAAGGCAAATTTCTTTAAGGCGTGCGAATTTGCACGTGACAATAAGGAAGCATTCCAAACCAAAATGAAAGCCTGGTATGAAGGAAAGCTCTGTTAAGAAGTTTCAAGCCAGGTGACAAAGTTTTAGTGTTGCTTCCTCTCCATGATCAACCTTTATGTGCAAAATATTTCGGCCCTTATGTCATTGAAAGCAAAATAAGCGACACTGATCATATTGTTCAAACACCACGATAATGATACCATGAGAGTATAAAGATGGTTTTTCCAGAGTAAAATATACAATAAATAACTTAAAGACGTCAACTGGATATAGAGAAAAAGTATGGAATAAGTACTAGTCATGATGGGAAAATAGCAATACTCCCACGAAGTTGTCTATTCTTATGAATTTTTCCTTTTATATGGTATCAGCAAGTTTATAAGTAATAACAATGAAGTAGATGAGAAAATATGGGGTTTAAACAGTCAATCGTGATAACAGTCATATGTAGCCATATGTAACAATATGAAATGTCAAAGCGTTCTACTATAATACGATGCATAAGCGTCCATTTTAGAAGGGTAGTCTTGCAAGCATAAACTTGAACATAAAATTCATTTATATATGAATATATGTATATAATACGAACGATAAAATTGTTATTGTCTGCTTTTATAATTATAAATATTAAAAAAAGTGAAATTTGTGTTAAAATAAGTTTCGTTTTGTGAAATTTTAAAATGTTAATGTAAAATAAGAGGCAAAATTTGTTGTATTTTTTCAAATACCAAATTAAGGATACAAAACACCACGAAAATCTCACGAAATAAATTCTGTTCTGTTGCATTCAATTTGACTTCCTGATTATTTTGATCGAGTCAAGGCCAATAACTCAGATACACCTCGACGACGAATTACAAAAAAATAACTTATCCGTGATTCACACACACCTACTATTTTTTTTTCACATGCAAACTCTTAATAATTACTATTAACTGAAATAATACGATAGGCTATATCAAATCAGATAAAGTCTCTTTCGCGTTATTTGAAAATACAAAGAACAATGCAAAATATATTCCCAGATAGCAACGTAGGGGCTTGAAAGATGAAGATGATACGTTTATTTACAAGAGTAATCATGTGGAATTTATTTCCTTAATGTTCATTGCAAGTAAGTTTTTCTAAATCTTTTGTTGTAATGTTATTTGTAAATGATATTGTAAAGATATTTTGTTTTGTAAACAAGTTTACGTGTAATACAATAAGCCAGTGGAAAATTAGATTTATTCGTACATTAACGAATTTAAATTTCCACGCCATAGGTTTGGATCTTACGTTTAGAAATTTTTAAATTGCAGAAAGTTTTGAAATTCCAATTGAATTATTTAGCAATTAAGTAAATTAAAGTGATCTAACTTGGCAATATTTAAGTACGCTAATATCGCTATTCTATCAAAATCGTGGTTCAACTCCTTAAATACAATAAATTGATTATAATCTGTCCAACTCGTAACTTGCAGAGGCGAAGTCAAACATATATGTGTATAAGAGTATATTCAAAATTAAGGCGTAACTTTTGAGACTTTTTGTTACTAAGAATAGAATATATTATACTACGGTATAGGTACTGTTTCAACCATTATACTGAGAATTCGTGTATACATTGTGTATATTTATAGTGGCGAGAAGTATTATACTATCCAATGCGCATGCCATATGTTTCTCATCTATAGCCGTATAGAGAAAAGTTGTGACTAACCTATTTCCACTCAGTTCAACACTCACATTCGTTCATTCATTCATGATAAACTTATAAACGTGGATTGTTAGTGAAAATGTAAAATGTTTCCGTTAAGCGGTTTTATAACCTTTGAAAATGTGATGAAAAATGTTATTGTGTAGTATACGTTGTGTATTCTAATCAAGAAAATGAGCTCTCTTGAAACTAGTGAGATAAAAGGCGAAATGCCGAAAGAATCGAAAACAACTCGCTTTGGAAAGAAAAAACAGAATCGGGCCAAACGAGCTAAATCCGACGGATTTACTTTAGGAGTGGATATAGCGCTGCTTGAAGAGAAATCGACCGAAACTGTGCACTTTTTACAATGGATCCGTAACCCCACAATACAAAGTCTGGCAAAATTAAGGAAATGTATCAAATTTAACGAACGGAGTTGGATGGAAGATTTTTTAACGTTTGATGGTCTTGGATTATTGTTTCAATGTCTCAATAATTTGGCTAAATGTGAAAATCATCATCTAGGAGACATGGTGCTCAAAATGCAATGTGCTAGTTGTATTAGAGAAGTAGTTAATTCTCAAAGTGGATTCGATTGTTTACTTTCAATGAAAGACAAAGCTGAAAACCTCTTTGGGAAACGTATTGCATTTGGTAAGTTTTATTGTTAAGTTATACTTTTATAATCTTGGATAGAAGATTCCGACAAGCTTTGATCTTTCATGTGTACCATGTTGACTTGGCAAGTTATTGACAGAAGCAGAACCCTTGGTGGTTTCAGAAAGTTTAGACTCTAGAAACTCTGGTCCTGACATTAGATTTCTACCCTGAATTATTATCATAAATGTGGACTAGTCGCATTTTTGACAGAGGTAGAACCGTTAGGGGTTTTAGAACCAACAGAGTGGAGACTGCCAGAAGCTCTGGTCCTGGAATAGGACTTTTACCCCGAATTGTTGCCATGTGATTAACAATTTGGCAGAGGTAAAAACGTTGGTGGTCTAGAACCACAGTGGAGATCAATGAAATCTTTATGTTATCATAATAGTTACATGTTAATTGGGCAATCTTTTGACTGAAGCAGAACCTTTGGGTGTTCCAGAACACAGTCGAGACTTTCAGAAGCTCTTCACCTGATTTTAGACATCTATCTTCCCTTAATGATCACGATCGTAAAATGAGGATTAGGCATAAGCAGGACCCTGGTAATAATCTAATAACTGTTATCATGTGAGTTACATGTGGACTAGACATTAGACACATTTTTGACAGAAGCAGAACCAAAACAATTGAGACTTCCACCTGTTAATAGACTTCTAACCTGAATTGTTATTATGAAAGTTACATGTGGACTAAGCAAATTTGTGACAAAAGTTGAAATTGTGCCAGTCATGTGAGACTTTACAGCTTTCAAGAAGCTCTGGTCCTGGCATTCTACTGACTTCTACCCTGAATTGTTATTATGGGAGTAACAAGTTGACTAGACAATTTTGTGACAGAGGTAGAAACTTTTGGGGGTTTAAGAACCAACAGTATCGGAGTGGAGGACCCCACTCCCACTGCTCTGCCATTAAACATCTAGGAAAATTTTCAACAGAAGCAGAACCGTTGGCATTAGACTCCTACCCAGAATTGTTATCATCAGTGTTGAAAAGACACTTTTTAGCAGAAATGTTGTCAGTTGCGAGTCTCTCAAGATTACTGGTATTTATGTAACCCACGCTCTCAGACAAACTGAGTCGAATGTGTCATTAAAACCATTCCCAGTGAAGTATCAAGTCTTTTATTCGTATTTCAACATCATGTATTATTCTCCATCCTATCTTCGAGAACATCAGCTAGCACATTTTACATGTTCATGCTTTTCATACCATATATCCACATGTAAAAGGTCTCGAGTTACATTGGCGTTGGTGTAGTTCAATGTAGCGTCTCGAGTTTCGTCTGAAAACATTGTATTTGTGCTGTTTTGATACTAATGACCTTATACATGGAACATTAACAGCTGGATGTCAAGTTGACATGCTAGATAGCACTGGCACCAGGTGTCCCAGAGGATGATCATGTCCTGTCCTGCAAGCATCATCCAATTTTATAGCTTTTATTTCCACCATTCTTATTTCCTTTGTGGTGTTTTTGAAAATCAGAATGATGACGTTACTATCGTAATACCATTTAACTTGAGTGGAATTTGAAATGTTGAAAATGGTAGTTATAAAGCCTCGCGATAAACATGCTAAGGCCAAAAACGTTTCGTTGAAATTAAATATTCAGCGAACATTGTAGACTATAGAACGATATACAGATTTCACTACCAGGATAAATCACCCTATTATTGAATTCTAGTATGTATATCAGTCATTAGTAACTATATTATTCACAGAACACAATGTTAATTTTCACCTGTTACAAATTAACAAATCGTTAAATTCCTACTTTAAAGGCTATCGTGCTCTTTAACCGGAAGTTGAACTGTGAAACCACTACTTGTGTATCACGAGAGTCTTTTAAACACATCATTCACTTGACATATTATCCCTTTCATTGAAAAGCCATACAACCGTCTTAAAAATTGTTCCAGCAGTTTAGCTCCAAATTTCTGTATCGTATTTCAGAATTAAACTCCTATATCTGATCGTCCTTCGATAAAAACGTAAACGTTTCGTATCAGTTTAGATTGTTGTCACATCCAGTTCACATATAGTTCTAGTATGTGGGGAATGGGGGTGCCAGCCACTTCCAGGTGAGTCCAGCCAAAGAACTATATGGCGCGATGTTCCTCTATGATCGTGAGCATGTTAAAAACGACTAGTGATGACAGACAAAATAATGCGGTTGTAGACGTTGTATAATGAAAAACCTGATGGATCATCTGGAACTGATATGGATCAGATAACGCGATGCTATGCAAATATTTAAACTAAAATATCTTTCTTTATGCAAATCAGTGACCAATAAACAAATTGTCTGAATCAAATTGGCTCAGACATATAGGATTAATGAAATAAACTGTGTTAAAATGTTGGCACACTATTTGCTATGATACCACTATATCGATCATTCGGTGTATTTAATTGACTGCTATGATGAAAATACCTTCTATCTACCCTAGTCATGCCTGCAGGAGAGGCAGTAAGCTCATTCCTATTTAACACAATAAACAATAGCCTACATAATATACAAACATAGATAGAGGTATTACATTATAAAAAATATTGACATTTCACTACATTATTATGACAAGATTTATAGCTTGCTAAGTATTAGGTATTTATTCCTCGTTGTAGCTGTGTTTGAATGACATCTCCTTAGTGTGCAGCAAGTTATAAACATTTCCTGTTCAACGTCTAATATTATTGCTGAAATATTTCCTATGTAGATATATGCTATTTTGTCACGTTGTGAAGCCATTTTGCTGATTTTATGTCGCCTCGTTGACTGGTACATTATTGGCTACTGCTGCTATAATATAACTGGATTTTAACTTTTTTCAATAGCTTTTTGCACATTAACAACATCACGATGACCAGTGCTGTACGAATATTTGTTTAAAATATTTGTCAAAAAATTCCATGAATTTATCGACTTCTATTCGAAAAACCAGCGGCTATGGTGAAAGATTTTACGTATATATTTCACAACCTTATAGTAGATTTGGTCTGATATAATATAATATATATATATATATATATATATATATATATATATATATATATACTCCCGAAAGATGTCTTACCGTTAATAAGTCGATCCACTAGTCAACTAACATTTTGGAATAGATGGATGACAGGATCAGCGAGAATGCAAGGTGTTACTTTTGTTATAAATGAAGTTGTCCTAATTGCCATGATAAATATAATAACCAATTACTATCCATATGGACTATGAAAAGAGGGAATTGAGAGACGCAGAATAACAAAATTTCTATCTTTGTTTTGAACATTGCTAGATTCCAATTACTGTAATCTGATAGCATCCCCGCTGACGTCTTTCATAAAAGTTTGACCGAAAATACAATTGCATTATATTTTAACTGTAACTGTCCTGTAAGTAGTCAATGAAAATGATTCTTCTTCCAGATAAGCAGATATGTTTATTTTTATTAAATCAGTTAAGTGGACGTTTCAAATGTTGCTAAAGGGATTATTGCAAACTACCATTTCAGACAACGAACATCCATCAAACAAATACGACAATGTGGGACAAATGTGATGGAGTAGCCACCTTGAAATAAATAATCAAATTGTTTGCTTGGATAAGAAGATATATTACATATAAAATGAGTATGAAAATCAATAAAAGAGAGGATTCCAAACATTAAGCTTGAGGGATTATGAAGACTTGAAATGTCTGTGATTTGTATCAGTTTCAAATTATTTTAATCTACATCCCTCGGCAATGTAGTTAATATCTTTATACTGCTATTTCGAAAGGAAATTGGGTATATATTGTTAAAGTTGATTACACAGAATTGATTCCCAGCTGAACTATTATAACTCGTTTTAGCTTTAGGTGTAATAAATAATGCCATTTAAGTTGAAATAACTTTTAGGTTTCGAAACTTTAAGTAATGCGAATATCCATCAAACAACGATTTTGGACAAACAGATTAAAGTAAAGCCACCTAAGATTATTCAAATGGAAGGAAAAAGCACTTACTTCCTCTGTGATCGATTGATTAAAGGTATACTACCAAAAATTGAAATTTTTAAACTTGGTTAAAATGAATCTTTGTTCATCAGGGATTTACCTGGTGTCATTACTATACAAAGGAATCCTATAATCCAATAAATCCATAAAACTAAGTAATTTTGAAACATGCTTAGAAGCGTGTTTAAATAATTATTTAGTTTAATGGCTCTAGCGTCTTATATAGAGATTCTGCTATTTAATCATGGCACCTGGTAAGTCTAACTGATGAATATATGAACTTGTTAGTCCAGTTCGAGACTTGAAATTTTATATCTATTCTAAGAGGTAGTGTATCCATTCAAAGGATATCAATGAATACATGGGTTTCTGAGGGGCTTTGTACATAAACAAGATAATATAAGTATCAGTGAGTAATTCACACAACTCTATCGACAAGACTAATCGTGTTTGCTTGCTGTTCTTGGTCTTTTCATACCTTGACTCACTGTGTTGCTCTCTAAAAAGGGTTCTTTTATTACCCTATAGTGGGTGAAGGGATATCAGGTTTAGGTTTCTGGGTACGGAAATGACGTCATTTAACTTTTTTTCGATTTTATTTAAAAACTAAAATTTGAGGTCACAGGTCACAACAGAGTGTGAATGACAATATGCTAGAGAATTTGTAAAAGTTATACAACATCCGGATAATTATAGAAGTTAGTTCGCTCTTTTAAATGTATGATTCATGTAGCAATGCATTCATTATTCAATGATATTGTCAATTTCCTTATTAGAGTTTTCTCCCACCCCGCGTCGTTAAAGCTGTGATAACTTTGATTACATGACTGCGATATCGTGTCGTGTTTCTATGAATAAAATATGGTCTTATTATACTAATTTAATTAATTAATTATCTTTAGTTAGGGCGGGAATTTGACTTTCTTAGATCTTCTTCTATATCTCTGATTTATTGGTTTTATTATCAAGTTTCACTTGTTTGGTCTTGAAGGATAAAAAAAACGTTTTGTTAATTTTTTTTTTGGAATTAAAGACAGTCGCTCAACTAGATAAAATGGGGCACGTGAACTAAAGTAGGTAAGGGCAACTCCGCCGGGAATTTTTCTGTAACATAGGCTTTCATGTATTCTGAGACTCATCTATAAGTCAATTCAATGCTTGTTAGTCTAATGTGTTTTCTGACGGTGGGGGCCCATGTCCTTGGTTCAACCTGTCTCTGTGATTGTGTAGCCACTGATTAAAAATCAACAGACATTGGATTAAAACCGATAAAATATAATCATACAAAATCTATTTATATCTACCCTTTAATATCGCAAACAACAGGAAGAAACAGCACCCAATGCAAAACCACGTCTATTTTAAAACAGAAACTGACATTGTCCTAAGACACAGTATTACCCAATGACATAAATACATTAATATTTAGTGACAAACGGAGTGAACGTAACAAGATCCCTGATCAGGCATGTATTTGTCACATTTAAATAATCGTGTGTTGATCGTATCATTTAAAATATTATATATTGTCAATTCACCTTTGTTCAATATGACCTATCAACTATTTCAGTTTTAGAAAAGGAACATAATACATTTTCTAATACTACCCTTTTAAAACATAAATAACCATGTCATAATACAATTTTAACAGACAATAAACACATTATTCATTCCATGACATGCACATGACACATAATGACATTATAATATTCAAATTGTGTATGCATTTATTGTACTCGAATATTTTGACTTTTTCTTTACAACAATCATAACTGATATTCTATAACTGATGAAGATTTACATAATAAATTTTATATTAAAATAAAGAAATCCGTTCAAGCAAAACAATTCCGCCAACCAAAAAACCAACCAATCAAAGCATGGCAAAATCGAGAGTAAAAATTGTGTAGTAGTGGATTCCTCCAAAGAAAGTCAGGTGTTTTAAAAAGACTAAAGCATGGTCTGCTTCGTGCGCGACGCCTGCGACTACCACAATGGTAAAAACCTTAAAACACAACCAGACCAACACACGTCCGACCAAACAAACCAGCCAAAATACCAGAAACAGATTTATTGTATTTATAAAGGAGTTCTCTATAACGACCATAAAATTTCCTACATGACATTGTTAATATTCGACCTCTAGCTAGGAACTCCTCATAAACAGAACAAGCCTAGCATAGCGGATGAGTTTCTATATGGCAATAACTCAAGTTCATAGCGACTTTAATAAAATATAATTATTCGTTGATAATTAGTAACATGAAGCAATGATTGTTCGACAGCTGTCTTTTTTTAATTCTAAAATTACATTCCATAAAGAATTCAATTCAATAATGAATATTTCTTTTTTACATTATTTAAAACCATGAAATTTTATACTTTAAATTGTTCATTGTTTTCATGTCGCAATGTTCATGATTGTCTCATGTGAACTTCATTTCAGAATTTATATCGGCAATTTGACAAACGGGCGTTTTCAGATAAACAAAGGGTAATAACAATCCCTATAACCCAGAAAAAACCTTCAATTGCTTTTAGTGGCATATTAGCCAACCGTTTGACCAATCGTTCCTTACTCTAAGAAACATTTATTTTTTTTAGCTTAGACAATCACTAAATGTATTTACAGCTCACTGTCGAAATTATCCGCGTTTTAAAGTTAAAATTTTCCTGAGACTGTTAATATAGAAAAGACATATATATATATATATATATAGAAATAGAAAAGGAAATTTTTAGTTTGAGGTATTATATTCCTAAAGGAATTATGCAACTTTCTTACATTTCTAGTACTTCTGAAGACTATTTACATAAATATATACAAGACCCAAATCAAACCCCGTAAATGGCGAAATTTGCCCTTTAAGATATGCAGTATTCTAGTATAGCGACAATGCCTATTTGGGACTAATGTATTTGTTATGACGCTGCTACAAAATAGGTCAACTTGTCTGCAACATGTCAGCCTGTCATCTATAAGTGTTTATCTATATATGTTCATGTATTTTAATTTCTATAATGAAATGTATAAAACTACTCTGTCACTCTATGTGTTCCCAGTATCCAATTCCACACTTCAATGATTAAACACCAGCAATGTTTTTTAAGCAAAACCTATTCTATTCTCGACAACTTTCGCTGATTATTTTTTTCTTTATTTTAAATGCCCTAAGTGTGTTCATGTTCATACTGTGACTTCAACAAAACAATGAACAACTAAAATTGTAAAGTGCCGTTACATGTTTGTCGCACAGCTTTCTGATCAACGATCGCCACCCTTGACTGAAACATCTCTGTCGTTCCAGCCTCTGATAGCTAGTTGGACAGATGTCGGCTGCTGTAGAGACAGAAAAAGTAGCCCCTATTAAATAGAGATTTTCCGCATCTCAGCAGGTGCAGTGGTTTTACACCGAATTAGATACCAATTGCCAGAAAGTCTATTGGGCGCGTCATCGAGATGACAAAGTATTCTGAATACTCTGTATGTGTAACAGCACTCTGTCTGAAACACTCTCTAAGGGTCAATGTGAACAGAAAACTTTCAGTAAATAGATTCTAAAAAGATTTTCTGACATTTAAGACATAAAGATCTACCATTGAGAGTCCAGAGACAATTTTTATATAAGCTGATCATGACAGGTGGCTGCAATATCATGTAAACGATGGAACAATAAAATTAATAATTGTGATGACAGTAGCAACACCTGTACCGTGTCACAACGCACTGTGTATATCAATCGGACAAAACAAAAACTGTCAGAAAACAACATATAAAACACCGTATCTAGATTGCATAATATAGGTGACAAAAGAACATTAATTATGCTTTATGGTGTGTCGTTTAGCAGTAATGAATAATTGTAACTATTTAAGTTTTGTGTAAAAAAAAATATGTTTAGATATGGTATCAAAACAGAAAGAGCTAATAGGCGTAATAGATAGACATATTGAAGATCAGTATGAATCAGGTAATCGGGTATAGTGGAAGCAATCAACTGTTTGGATTGCGCACACAGTAATTCAGTCGCCACAATAGATTATTACCAAAAATATTTGACCTATTATATATGATTTTTAATGTGGCTGGAATGAACATACCGATACAAACTTTATTTATATACAAAAGAACGTTTCGTTCTATCAATTTATATAAACTCCAAAATGTGGTCACCTTTTTGGCTAAGTTAAGGCACTTGATTTTATTGATATCCATTTTTCATATAGTATTTTTGAATATTATGCCATTAAAGGTATACTACGTCTTAGGATGACAAAAAAATTAATTTTTAAACTTAGCCAAAACGAGTCTTTGATCATCAGTGGAATTATCTGGTGCCAAAACTATATGACAGAATCCAATAAATCAATAAAACTAAGTTCATAATCCATTAAAATAATTAAATTTAAAACATGCTTCAACAAGTTTCAAACATTATTTAGGTTAATGGATATACCGTCTTTATAAATAGATTCTATTCTTTAATCATGTCACCTGGCAAGTCCAACTGATGAATATATACTCTTATTGTCCAAGTTTGAGACTTTATATTTTATATCCAAGAGGTAGTAACCCTTTAATAAATCCGTGAATCCAATACTTTCTGACTTAATTGAAAAACATCCTGATACAACCACACAGGCTGTTGTCGGGGATCTTGACGTATTGTCATCATTATCAAATGATTTACTATAAGTTGATAGAGAGCTGGCCAGTGTAAGAGTAAACTGATAAGAAACGTCTAATTCTACCATAATTATATTTATTGAACTGAAGATGTGGCGAATGACCCTTGATAGTGTAATGTTTTCATAAAGGCATTATTACGACTAATTCTTAAGGGACGGATTCGTCATTTTCGGGATTTGGGTCTTTAAACAGTAAATAGTCTTCAGAAGTTCGTAAGGTGTAATACACATAACAAAATCGCAATACACACTACAGCGTCCCAAACATTTTGAAAACCAATCCATTCCGCTCTTATCTATGTTTTTGTAAGACTTTCGTTCATTAACATAACGAGGAACATTAGCTGATAATAGATTCCTCAATTCATTGTATCTTAAACGATAAGGCTATCGACTAGCCTTTAATAGGCCAGCATGCGTTCAATAAGGTCAATGATTTAGGATGCGTTAACACCTCGAAAAATAACAAACAATTCAAAATCGCCTGAATCAGAGCGTATCACAATGACTCATCCCATTACTTTTGGTGGGTATAAGTGATAAACAAATGTACCTGATATTGAATATTAAACTTATAAATAATACGTTGAAATAATAGCGTTAAAGGTATTATCCCCTGAAATAAACTTTTATAGTTTTTATGCTTATGTACATGCCATGATCATACACGCAAACATCCTACTTTTTTTAGTGAAGAATACAACTATGAAACGTATGTTCATATACATACCATTCCTCGACACCTTTACATTTACAACTAGGACAACATAAATATTGTGTGTGTTTGGAGGGGGGGGGGGGGGGGGGGTGTCAGGTCGACTTGGGACTTACAGAACATGAAAGTAACTTGAATTTTACCAGTTGCTAGCAACTAGTTGCATCTGG